TCAGAACTAGTAAGAGCCAGAACTTGAAGCTTTTAACTCTACAGTTCTACATTTGCCTAACTTATCTTTAAGTGCCCTATAATTCCTCACACACAGTGAGCACATGATTAATATTTGTTGAATTCATTGTTGAAAAAGAGAAATTTATATTTTACTTAAAAGACATTCTTTCTTCAGAAGCATGGGGAAAATTACTGATGAGTTAATGGTCTGCAGAAGGGTTAAGAGATAAAAATAACGTGAACATTCACTATGAATATTTGTGGTTCAGCAATAGATTGGAGCCCATTCATCAACTGAATAGAAATGCTGGGTTTATCCAAGATACTTTTCAGTGTATTTATTCAAAAAGAGTTCCAATCCAAAAATAATAGCCATAAAATAATTTTCCAAGTTAGCATTTCTGGCTTGAAAATTCAATGTGCAATGCTGAAATGAGAAATGAGAAAATGCCAAGAGGAAATTGAACAAAAGCTCAAAAGGTATTCTTTATTTTGCATGCAAGAACCATGAATTATTTATTTTCAACAACTAGGATGCTACATTTGTGTTTCTGCACCCAGTGGGAGTCCCAAAATGCAGATTTTTCTTTTCCCTCTAAAAATTTGTTGTTCCACATAAAAATATATAATCTCAGTATGTAACAGATAAGCAATATACTGGTTTCCCTTTCATTATTTTTAAATACTTTATCAGAACCATAAATGTGAACTATAAAAATATGATTTAGATGACGATGACAGAGTCTGGCCATTGCCACGCTTTATTTAAAGTCCTAATGGCTAAACAAATCTCTAAATTCTCAGTGTCTCTTTCAAGAATAACATTTGACAGCCACGAAAAAGACATTTTCCATCTTTAGAACCATTATTCAGCTTTCAGATCTCAGCTATCCTTGATATCTAACAACAATAACAAAAAAAAATCGGTAGTAACATGAAAAGAACAAAGAATAACCCTGAACAATTTTATTGCCCCATCTTGGCCTCCTCCTTCTGAGAACTGGTACCCAGTAACACAAACGAACTACCAACATAATTAGTCAATGGCCAGGAGTACATTTGGGTGGAGACAAAGATTCCAGTTCTCTGTTTTCCAAGAACTCTGACCCCAGTCCCGAAACTGGTGGTTTCCACTACCACCAGGATTGCTGTGTAAAGGGCTCAGAAGCCGCTGTGCCTGGCCCTTAGACACAGAACCTGAGGAAGCTAAGGTGGCTCCATAAAGGTTTGCCAGCGACCAAACTTTTTTTAGGATGTTTCAACACTGCTCTTTTCCCCTGAGGTGGTTTCAACTTGCCCAAAGCGAAATCCCTGACCTTCAACTGAGAGCTTGGAACAAAGATTCCCTAGAAAGCAGAATTATTGCCTATACACTATTGATATTTAAATCTTTTAAAATTAAATCACATGCATCTAAGATTGTACAGCGAATGATTTGATAAGGTGTTTACAAAACTGGTGGAAGGTTACTAAAATAACAAAAGACCAGCCATTTTCTCTTCAGGTAAAAACTACTGTTCGACCCCAAACTAGATGCCATGAAGTACTAAAATACAGCAAGGAGAAAAAGAATTTTACATTTCCAAAGCTGATATTATTCTTCTGTTTTTCTACCCTTTTTACTTGTTTTGAAAAAAAATATTAGAGCAAAATAACAAGGGGAAACACATTCATTTCAAAACCCTCATAAGAGGACAGTCATCAACCTAGTGAGCTTCACTGCTTCAACCCAGTGACGTTAAATTAAAGGAGCTAGGAGAATGTGTCAGAATAAGGGACAAGTGGCTACCATTGCTTATACCTGTAACTAGAGGAATAAAGAGAAATATAGCTCTCAAAGGACTAATTAGTGCTATCACAATTTTCTTCCCTCTCCTCTCTCCTGATCATGATTAAGAATTAGCTTAAATCATAAAGAAATAATAATATTAAAATAGTATTTCCTCACTAACTCCATCCCAGTGTATTACCAAATGAAATAAAAATGAATAGAGAGTAGAAGTCACCAAGGAAAATACACTTATGGAAATTACTATCATGTCTAATTTCCAGTCAAGATGCTGGCATAATTAAGCACAGTTTGCCTCCCCACACAACCACATCAAAATTACAAATAAATTATAGAACAAACATCTCTCAGAACCATCAGAAATAGAGTTCAATGGAAGTGTGACAACTAAAGAATTAAAGAAACCACATAAGTCCAGACTGGTAGAAGGGGCAGATATGTGGAAAAGGCTGGTCCCACATCCACATGTGGCAGATAAAAATTCAGCAGGGATATCTCAGGAGTGTGGATTCCTAGCCCCACATCAGGCCCCCCAGCTCAGGGTTCCAGCACCAGGAAGATAAGTCCCCACAACTTCTGGCTACAAAAACCATTGGGGATTGAGTCAGTTAAAGAAACTTCTGGAGTCCCAAGCAGTTCCCCTTAAAGAACCCACACATGGACTCACCTACTCAGACTCACTCCCTCTGAGCTCCAGCACCAAGGTAGCAGTGTGAAAGGCACCAGTGGCATACAGGGAGGAACTGAAGTGTCTGGCATCAAGGCAGGAGCTGGGGACAGCTTTCTCTAAGACAGAAAGGCAGTCAGAGGCCTTGTCCCTTTTCTGAGCCCTTCTCCACACAGAGCCACAGCACCAGCAAGGTGAGTGCCACATCTGAGACTCCATCAACCTGGCTAACATTGTTTTCCCTGCCTTGGAGATCCCCTGAGACTCTATCCCACCCAATTTATGGGCCCACTCAAACTGTTAACCGTGACTTTTCTATATGAATGGGTGGTCTTGGCTCCTACTTCACAACTTCCTAAATCCTATCAAACAAGCAACAGCTGGCCTCAGTAAACCCCCAGCCCCTGTACCTCTTCCTAAGTGGTCCCAGTCATGGCTCTAGAAGCAGCCAGCCTAGATTCACAGTTTGGCTTCACCTGGAAATCTCTAAGCCTAGCACAAGTAGCAATCATCTCAGAGTGCTTTATAGCTCAGGCAGGGTGGCCCTGGGCAAAACACAGGTTGGGGCTGACCTTGGCCTGTAACACCCAGGAAACCCCAGGGCCAGTACATCCAGTGGACAGCTACAGACCACATCAGAGCACCACCCTGCCCCTGCACAGCTGATCCTTCATGGAGGGCAGAGGTTGGTAGTCAGTGGTCACAGCTAGTCCTTCTGCTCACTGGCCTGAGTAAATCCCTCCCATTGATCTGCCAACAGCAACCAAGGCTCAACTACAAGAGGAGGGTGTACTCAGCCCACACAAAGGGCACACCTCAAGTACCCCTGGGTGATAGGCAGGCAGTGTCACTGGACCCTACAGGATATCGACTACATTAGGCCACACTACCAAAACACAGAGTCATAGCAGCTCTACCTAATACATAACAACAAACACAGGGAGATTGCCAAAATGAAGAGACAAAGAAACATGGTCCAAATGAAAGAACAGATCAAAACTCCAGAAAAGGACTAAACAAAAGAGAGATAAGTAATCTGTTCAATGCAAAGTTCAAAACACTGGTTATAAGGATGCTCAAGGAACTTAAGTGAGGACCTCAACAGCATAAAAAACATCTATTCAGAAACAAAGGATATACTAGTTGAAGTAAAGATCAATTTACAGGGAAACAACAACAGAGTGAATGAAAGTAAGAATCAAATCAATGATTTGGAACATAATGAACCAAAAAACAACCATCCAGAACAACAAGAAAAAAAAAAAGAATCCAAAAAAAGATGAGGATAAATGTGACAAAGAAGGGGAAGGTTGTAGTCAAGGAATAATAATGACCACGGACATAGACAATAGGGTGATTGTGGGAGTGAGGGGGACAGGGGAGAATAATGGGGGAAAATTGGGACAACTATAATAGAACAACAATAAAAAAAAGAAAATATCTTTCATAAAGAAAATGAGGATAGTGTAAGCAGCCCCTGGAACAACTTCAAGCATTCCAACATTCACATTATAGGGGTGCCAAAGGAGAACAGAAAGAACAAGAAATTAGAAATCTATTTGAAAAAAAATAATGAAAGACAACTTCCCTAATTTGGCGAAGGAAATAGACATTCAAGTCCAGGAAACACAGAGAGCCCCAAACAAGATGGATGCAAACAGCCTCACTCCAAGACACATGATAATTAAAATGCCAAAGGTTAAAGATAAAGAGAGAATCTTAAAAGCAGCAAGAGAAAAGAAATTAGTTATCTCCAGGGGAGTTCTGATCAGACTGTCAGCTGATTTCTCAAAAGAAACTTTGCAGGCTAGAAGGGACTGACAAGAAATATTCAAAGTCATAAAAAGCAGGGAACTACAGCCAAGATTGCTCTACCCAGCCAAGATATCATTTAGAATTGAAGGGCAGCTATAAAGAGCTTCCCAGACGAGAAAAAACTAAAGTTGTTCATCAGCAGCAAACCATTATTATATGGAATGTTAAAGGGTCTTATTTAAGAAAAAGGAGAAGATCAAAACTATGAACAATAAAATGGCAATAAATTCTTATCTATCAACAATTGAATCTAAAAAACAAACTAAGCAAACAAGAATAAAAACAGAATCATGGATACAGAAAGGATTTTGATGGTTGCCAGATGGGAGGAGAGTGTGGGGGAATGGGTGAAGAGGTGAGGGGATTAAGAAGTACAGATAGGTAGTTACTGAATAGCTATGGGAATGTAAAGTACAGCATAGGAAACAAAGTAGCCAAAGAACTTATATGTATGAACCCATGGGCATAAACAATGGTATAGGGATTACCTAAGTGAGTGGTGGTGCTGGGTGGGGGTAGAAATTGGGAGGGTGGCAGGGAATTATGTTAACTATAATAGCATAATCAATAAAACACAATTTTTAAAAAATTACTGTCACTGCAGGTGTAGTCAGTGAATGAAAAGCAATTGTAAAGAAACCTCTTTAGTTAACAAGCAGACTGTCAAATGTGAACCAGCTTTAGCACACATAAACCCACATCGTCCATGCACTCGAGTTTAATATACCTGATCATTCTGATTTTCAAGTCTTGGAGAAAAGCCAGGCATTGTCAGGGAGGCTGCAGAGAGCTCTTGGAGTTTTACATCGATTTCAGCGAGCTGCTGGTGCTGGGTGGCTTCAAGTGTGTATCCTTCGCCTGGGACCAGCCAGCCAGACGGATCACCCTAGGAGGAAGCAACAGGTACCACATCATCCCCATGCTGCCTTTTTCCCAAAATGTACCTTTCAGACTGCTACAGGACTTCACAAAAACAAATTTTAAAAAGAAAAGAAAACAAAGGCACAGAATTAACACTGGCATAGAAAAAGAAAAAAATTAAATAGTTTATGGTTTCATTATCTGCCCACTCTTTGTGAGGTATCTTCATAAATTACACTTGGTGGTGTTATTGCCCTGTGGAAAAAAATCTCTTAGCCTTACAGTTTGGTTCTCATTGTATTCCCATTTCTCCACCTTGAAAAAGTGGTTGCAATGTGTTGAACAGGGAGAAATCATGTTTACCCTATAATGAATGTGGTATTTTCAAAATTTGTTCCTAAAAAGTAACATAGGATCTATAAACTCAGTTGTCTGGATTTTACGAGCTTAATTGGTTATCTAACTCATTCAACTAACATTATAGTTTCATAATAGGTTAAGACTCGTTCATAACATGCATTCAAAAATCTCATACTGGAGTTCTGGCCAACATGGAGGCCTAGGTAGAAACCCTTCGCTTCCTCACACAACCAAAAGGAGGAGAATGACCAACCTAAAATCACTAAACAACCAGAAGTGCCAGAAAATCAAACTGCATGGAACTCTGACAACCAAGGAATTAAAGGAAAGATCAATCAGAACAACCAGACTGGTAAAGCGGCAGACCATGCAGGCTGGCCAGTGGAGAAAAACCAGGGCAAGTCAGCAGACCTTGGCAGAAGTGCTGTCTGCGGAGTGAACATGGGCTGCATGGGCTGTGTGGGCAGGGCTGACTTAAGGGGAAACTGAGACTCAAAGTTGATACAGCAGTTGCTGTGGCAGGAGAAACTCCCAGTCTGACACTAAAGTCAGACAGGAAGTGCACTAGGGACGTGCAGGAAAGCTGCACAGTTCCCTCTCTGGCTCCTCCCCCACAGGCAGCACCACAGCAGGGAGGGTTGCCTTCCTAAGGCCCCGCCCCCTTACAACTTCTCAGGTGCGCCAAGACAAAGAAATATGGCCCAAATGAAAGAACAGAGCATAACCTCAGAAAGAGAGCTAAACAATGAGGATATAGCCAACCTACCTGATGGAGAATTTAAAGCCCTGGTAATCAAATACTCACAGAACTGATTGAGCTTGGTCAAAAAATGAAAAAACAAATGAAAGATACCCAAAATGAAATAAAGCAAAATATTCAGGGAACCAAGAGTGACAGGAAAGAAACCAGGACTCAAACCAACGATTTGGAACAAAAGGAAAAAATAAACATCCAACAGGAACAGAATGAAGAAATGAGAATTAAAAAAAGTGAAGAGAGTCTTACCAACCTCTGGGACAACCTGAAACATTCCAATATCTGAATTATAGGGGTGCCAGAAGAACAACAATAGCAAGAAACTGAAAACTTATTTGAACAAATAATGAAGGAGAACTTCCCCAATCTGGCAAAGGAAATAGACTTCCAGGAAGTCCAGGAAGCCCAGAGAGTCCCAAAGAAGTTGGACCCAAAGTAGAACACAGCAAGGCACATCATCATTAAGTTACCCAAGATTAAACATAAAGAGAAAATCCTAAAAGAAGCAAGGGGGAAGGAAAGAGTTACTCACAAAAGTGTGCCCATTCAGCTATCAGCTGATTTCTCAAAAGAAACCTTACAGGCAAGAAGGGGCATGCAAAGAAGTATTCCAAGTCATGAAAGGCAAGGACCTACATCCAAGATTAGTCTATCCAGCAAAGCTTTCATTTAGAATGGAAGGGCAGATAAAGTGCTTCCCAGATAAGGTCAAGTTAAAGGAGTTCATCATCACCACACCCTTATTAAATGAAATGTTAAAGGGACTTATCTAAGAAAAAGAAGATCAAAATATGAACAGTAAAATGACAACAAATTCACAACTATCAACAACTGAACCTAAAAGAAACAAAAAACAACAAAAACGAAAACTAAGCTAACAAGTAGGACAGGAATAAAATCACAGAATGGAGATCACACGGAGGGATTTCAGTGGGAAGGGAGGAAAGGCGGGGAAGGGTACAGGGAAGAAGAAGCATAATTAGTAGACATAAAATAGACAGGGAGAGATAAAAATGGCATAGGAAACAGAGGACTCAGAACTTATATGTACAATCCATGGACATGAACTAAGAAAGAGTATGCCGGAGGGTTCAAGGGCAGGGTGGAGGGGAGATAAAGGGAGAAAAAGTTGGGAAAACTATAATAGCATAATCAATAAAAATACTTTAAAAAATCTCATACTGAGTGTCTACTGTGCATAGGCATTACAATGGGTTATTCAATATAAATCTCACAAGTTTCTGCCTCAAGGAGTTCTCAGTCTCTTGGCGATGAATATTTTAACAAGGTATGAAGCTCACAGGTTCGCCCAGGACACCGTGGGAACCAGAGAGGGTCAACTACCCTCTGTTAGACGGACTGGAAGGGACAAAGTGGTTGGAGAAGACTTCCTGTGGAAATAATCAAGCTTAATCACATCTTAACAAAAGAAGCAATATGCACTTTAAAACTGGAGCAGGTGAGAGCAAGACTGGAGACGGGAAACCCAGTTCAGAAGAACCACAATCTATAACAAACGTGATGAGTGTCTCAACTAGGGAATGCTTCCTGGGAGTGCAGAACATAAGGCAGATTCCAGAGAAACTTAGGAAGTAGAATTTACAGAATTGGAGACAATCTGATGGAGGAGTAAAGGGAGGAGGAAAGATTAAGGATAAAAACTAAATAGGGGGATGATAATCATACCAACCAAATTAGAGAACACAGCTGTAGTAGGTTTGAAAAGGGTGACATATTCTGTTTGGGACTTTTTGATATTTGCACAGATGTCCCTAGGATATCCACAGATTATGTTGGCTAGTTAAGTATATATATGAAGTTCTTTTTTTTTCCCCAGAATTTCAGTCCCTTTAATAAGGTGCTCTGCGAGGAGGGCACAATGACAGGCAGGGAGTAAAAAAGGTGGTGCTTTTGAACCCCACTGGGCATCATCCAGTCAGTCCTCACCTGGCAGCTGGATCTTGCTGGGGTTCAAGAGAGAGATGTGGGTTGGAAATAAGTGTTTTGAACTCACCCATATATCTATACTGGCTTGAACCCTTGGATCATGGGGATGGATGATGTCACACAGGGAAGCATGTAGTACAAGGACAGAACATCATGAAGAACACACTTAGAATAAACGAGCGGGTGTGGGGCAAAGAAGGTTAAGAATTTCATACACTTTGGTTTTGTAACTCTTAATCTAGGAATGGATTCCTAGAAGAAATACATGCAACATAATTATGCAGAAAGACTTATGTTTCCCCCTGGCCCCAGCATCCAATCTCCCTTCCTGCTTAGGGAGCAGGTTCACTCTGTGAGTCTTGGTAGTAGATAGATCCCCACCAGATAGGTCCTTCTCCTTACCCAGCAGCATCAAGAAAATAAGCAAATGACCTGGATTCAGCCAATCCAAAATGAATACCCTGGACCTTGACTCTTGAGGGAGAAAGAGACCTGCAAAGGTGCAGGGAAAGGGGGGAAGTGGTTAAAGGTGACAGCAGTGGCAGTGAGTGTCCAGTGTGGGTAGCAGTGAAAGTGGCAGAAGTGATCATCCAGTGGGAGTGTCTGGTGACTGTGGTTCACCTCTTAAGCTGCCTGTTTGTGGGCAGTTTCTATGGCCATGTTTCTGGCTATTTTGATAATAGCGTGGTGTAGAAACTTGGCTCTCCAAACCTCCCACTGAGTCTGTGAACTACTAAGTCTCCCAATAAATTCAGTTTCTGTTTTTTTAACCCAAGTCTATCTCTGTTTCTTGAAACCCAGAACACTAATACATTTTTTGCCAAGTTATTTATAATAAAGAGTATAGGCAAAAAGCCTAAATGTCTAAAAATAAGGACAGAATGAGTAGATTTTAGTATATCCATACAAGAATATGATAGTAATTAACATTTTAAATATACTTGGCATATGAAAGTCATACAGTTATTTTTTAAATAATATTATCTAGTTATTCACAAATAAGAAACTTTGGTTAATTTTTCCTAAATACAAGTGATATAAATATTGTATGATTTAAATGAGGATAAAGAATAACCAAAAAACTGAACTTATAGAATCACAATGACTAAATACTGGTTAATAAATTTTAAATTCTTGTCTGAATGGAATTCTTTTTAAATGACACTGGAGGTTAAAAAATGTCAGATTAAATTCAACAGAAATTTAAATGTTTCATTCACTATGCAGTTACAAAAGAAAATTATATGTAACATGTACAAGATGTTAGCATGTTTTTCTGTCTGTCTAGCACCTTCTAGACACCCTGGCTATGTGTGGAAATTTCTAGCTTTTAGGAGCTTGCCTCCCTAGGACAGAGCCTAGAAAATGTTCTTCCCTTACAGCTAGGGCTCGGGCTAGCAACCAAGAGTCCACAACCAGACTCACCCATTCAGCACTGATTTAGTTGTCATTGGAGATCTGATGTAAAACCCATTTTGCTGGGTGGGTGGCAGTAGAGGCGTCTGGCTTTGTAGAGCTCCATTAGCTATAAGCGTGAGTTCCTACCACAGGAGAAAATCTCTTAAAAATTCTAAGTATCCCACAGAGATTCAAGAGAATATTACATCCACACAATTAAACATGCCACTATAAAGAACAACCTGAGGGCTAGAGCTCTGGGGAATACAAATAAAATTATCATCTTAGTCATCCTCTTTCAGTCGCATAGCGTTTCTCAAAGATGAAGCGGTGGGGCACTCCATAAAGAAAAGGACACACAGAAGTTTGAGGGAATACAGCAAATTTAAGGGATGGCAAGAAGTTTGGTACAGTTTGAGAATACAGTGAACAGGTCCCCTCCTCAAAGTGCTCCTGCAACCACCCTGCTGACTTCACAGACCCACCTCTGGGTCTGTTCCCACGTGTGCCACCCTCTGTCTGACTTCATAGAATCTCATGGCTTTACAGTACCAAATGACTAT